TGATGATGCCTTACACCTGATCCCTTCGACACCTCGTGGTTGCATAGGCTGGTGTGCTTCTTCCATGTGGGCTTTGTTGCTTCTGAGCTTGATTACCTTCAATTTTTATTACTTCTTTTGGTGGCTCAAAGTTGATTTCCTGCTCTTGTTGTAGTTAGTGGAGATGCTGGATGACTATGTTGATTTTGATTACTTTGTTTGTGATGTATGCATTTATTGCTATAAATTGCCCTCTGAATACTGTTTTAGCTGTCTCAAAGGTTCTGGTACATTTATTTTCATTCTCATTTGTTTCAAGGACTTATTTTTATTTTATTTTTTTTAAATACCCAGTAGTTTTGTTTGTTTAAAGTAGGACGTTTTTAAAAAAATTAAGATGTTATCCAATTTCCATGTATTTGATTTCCGCCCCCTTCCCCCAAGATCTCCTATTGTTGATTTCCAATTTTATAGCATTATGATTTGAGAAGATGGTATGCAATATTGCAGGTTTTGAAAATGTATTAGGGCTTACTTTGTGGTCTTTTCTGGAGAATGTTCTACGTGTTGGGAAAAAATGTATATTGTGCTACTGTTGGGAAGGGTGTTCTGTATATGTCGAAGAGGTCAGGTTGATTATTTATATATTTAGTTTACTGTATGTGTTTGTTGAATTTCTTCCTTCTTGTTATTACCCTCAAGAGTGGTGTATTGAAGTCTCCCACTATTATTGTACTGCAGTCTATTTCTCTCTTCACGTCTCTGAGAGTCTGATTAATGTATTTTGATGATTTTTCACTGTGTACACCAATATATATTAGAGTTATATCTTATTGGTCAATTGTCCCTTTGGTAATACAGTGTCATCATCTTTTATAGTGGATTTTGCTATTTTATTAGAGATTAATATGTTTTGCTATTGATTAGAGATTAATATTTCCATTCCCACTTTTATTACTAGATTGCTATATATGAGGGGTGTCCCCCCCAAAACAGATTGTTTTTTCCAAAGCTATGTATTTAATTTTTTTTTTTTTACAAAACAACCTTATTGCCTTCCAAGTACTCTCCATGATACTTAATGCATTTGTCAAATCTGTGATTCCATTCTTGGAAAAAATTTTCAAACTCTTCAGCTTAGGTGGCTGATAGCACCTCCCTCATTTTTTTCTTCATCTCTTCTAGGTCGTCAACTCACTGTCCTTTCATGTCTCTCTGCATTCGCAGAAACAAAAAGAAGTCACACGGAGCAAGGTCAGATGAGTAAGGGGTGGGGGACATGCTGTTTTTGCCAAAAACTGGAGCAATAAGATGAGCAGGTACATTGTCATGATGGCAAAACCAGTCCCCTGTCTGCCCCAAATCAGGCCTTTTTTTGTTGCACAGTATTATGCTATCTTTTCAGAACCTTTAAATAGAAAGCTTGATTAATAGTCTACCTTGTGGAATTAACTCCAAATGCACTACGAGTCAACATTTTCATCCATTTGGGAAGTTGGCAGATGTCCAGAATGAGGTTTGTCATCAATCGACACTTCACCTTTTTTGAAATGAGAAAACTACTCCTACACTCGAGTGTTTCCCATAACATTGTCCTTGTAAGCTGTGTTCAACATCACAGTTTCTGCAGCACTTTTTCAGAACAGTAAACAAAATTTCACAGCTTCATGCTGTTCTCTTGAATCGGGCATCACTAAAAATGACATTCGAGCGAAACTGCTTTTATGAAAAATTTCACTATAACCAGAAAACATTCCCAGGCAATGCCACGAGGCACATTAACTCAGAGCAAGTTGCTCAATGCTCAACTAGCAGGAAAAATGCATACTACGAAAGTTCCATTCCACCCAGCACAATTACATTTGGGAGGGGGGGGGACCCCTCTCCTATATCTGTGTATATATATATATTCTCTATCTTTTGATTTCCAGTCTATTTGTCTTGTTTATCTAAGTTATGTTTCTTGCAAGCAGCATATTGATGGGCCCTGTTTTCTTATCTATTCTACTACTCTAACAATTCTTGAGGCTTTTCTTTCTTTCTTTCTTTCTTTCTTTTGAGACTCAGAATTGGTTTATTGACAATGCTTTTCTTAATGCTAAGTTCAAACCCAAGAAATATCAAATGCTTAAATCAAAGACATGATAGATTCCCAAATGCCTAACCTATTTCACATAACAGATGTGTAATCATTTGTTTTTTAATCTCTAAGTAAACCAAAAAAGGAAATGTTCTAACTAGCTCTTGTCCTCATTAAACCTCCCCTGGACCACAAAGTAACCAGCACAAAACCTGATGTTGACAACCTGACAATTCAAGGACTGGGCATAAAGTGACTACAGCAAATAAAACCAAAGATCTTCTTTTCCTTTGATTTTCTGAGTCTCAGCATGTGAAATTTACTAGATCAGGGCTGAAGTGATTAAAAAAAGATTTCTTTAATTGTCATCTATCAGTAGTGCTTTAACATTTAGTCTGTACTTCTCAAATTCGTCAAGTCAAGAAAATGCCACTTTTGTATGGGACAACCTGACAAATTATTTCTAGGTACATGAAGAAATGGTTTAAAAAATTCTGGACTCCAAGAGAGGTCATCACCCACCCCCATTCCTCTAAAGACTTTATGGGTTTTACCGGTGTGTTTCCTTCGTGGGGGAGCCATTGATGCCTGATTGAGAATCAATTCTTGGAAAAATTTTCTTCTGTCTTCTTCAATTGGCCTTTGAATATACAAGACCTCTTCATACTGTATTCTAAAGATATACTTAATCTACACAATGCACACAGACAAAAAAAAAAGACATTAGAAATAAAATTAATTATATATTAATGAATTAATAGTTTCTTTAAAGTACCATTTTCAATATTTATTGAGCATTCATAAGCATTTAGGGCTTATCTAGTTGTGGGCTTTATTGCTGTAAGTTTAACCTCAGAGTACACAAGAAAGGTAAAGTGTTCTAGTTGTGTATTCATAAACAACTTTAACATAGTTAGCAAAAACCTCAAAAGGCTGTTACATGAAGAGTTCAAAAGCAATCACCTAGACGCCGCAGTAAAAAGGCTAGAGGGATTGTAGTTTGACTTCTCATCTTCGTGTTCCTTGTGTTTTCCAGCTGCTGATTTTCCCTCTTATATTCCATTTCCCTAACAAATCTACTCTACTGTTTCTTCTGGAACCCTGTTTGCACTGCAAATAAATTACAATTCCCACTTTTCACAGGCCCATTTTCCACACAACACCCTCAGGCAAAAAATAAGCCAGTCATTCTCATATCCTTCAGTTCCTTCAATCTGGTAACTATGTAAAACTTTCATCTACTGACCAGCTCTGTAAAGACATCACACTGCCAAGACATGCTATTTAAATCCCCTTAAGTCATCTATATTTACCTACCATGGCATTGAACATTTTCATCTAACATACACATTTAACATGCCTTTATAGTTCTACCCTGTCCATCTGAGTGGCAATGAGTTTGATTTTGGGGGATGGGGGGTGTTTTTTTTAATAGACAGAACACTATCTTCTACATGCCAAGTTCCTTGAAAACAGGAATCATTTCTTATTCATATGTTCCCCTATAAAAACAACTGTGCCTGTTACATAGCTGTGCTTTAATGCGCATATACTGAATAAATAAAACGTGTTCTTTTCTTCATCAGTCCACACTCAACTGGAAACAAAAAATAAATAAGGGGCAAGTACCAGTTGGTCCTTGTGTAGTCCGATTGTCACCAGGCCCAGGTGTGGCCCCACAATTAAACCAGACCATCAGACTCAATGCCTGATAAATTTCTCAAATTTGTCATAAATGTGAAGCATCAGATAATGAGACCACTGATAAGTGAGTAGGCATGTAAGATTCCCTCAATTTATGGATAAGGATATTTGACAGTCACAAAGGAATAAGCACAACTTCAAAATAACAGCCTGCTCCAGCTCTGAAATCCTAATGGAGAAAAAACAAAAACTAAAAGGTAGATAATCAAATTTAAAATGTGTATCAGGAATTATCTCAGTCTAAGATCAAAGCCTTAAATAGATCACAAGCATTCACTGCGTGCCCTTTCTGTATTACACCTACTTCTCACCTATAGGTATGTTTAGGTTCCAAAGGTCAGCTCGTGATATAAAAGTTGGCATTCTACAAAAATGAAGCATCTCTCTTATTCCCCCTGTTCTCAGACCATCCATTTGTCATTTTTTTGTTTTGTTTTGAAGAAAACATGATCATTGAAATAATAACAGTGAAGAATTGCTGATGTAATGAGTCCAGTTATGGATTATTCCTCTGCAGAGAGGTGGTCTAGAGAAAGCAGTGGGCTCGAGGGTCCGCGACTTAAACATTTGAGCTTACTCCTGTGATGGGTAAGAAGTTCCCTTGCAGGGCAGCTTCCAGGGCTCTACTGCAAGCTGCCTGGCAAGTAACTCAGGGCTGACTGGGGGTTTCCTGTGGTACTGGGAAGCCTGGTCCACTTAAGCAGGGGCTTCAGGCCCAGCTCTTCAGAATCTCATTAAACTCATATGCACTTCTTCCAAACATCCTCTCCAAAGTCCCTTTCTTCTCTCCCTTGCCACCTATGGCAATTTTGAGGTCTAAGGCCTCCAGCCACATAGGAGCTGGAACCTAGACTAGGTTCTGCTCTGTGCATCTCCCTCAGATCCTATGGCCACAGAAGAGGCCTGCAACATGGCAGCTGGATACAGAGCCCCTGCCAATAAGAGGGGGTAGAGGGCAATGTGGTGTTGATAAGTGTTAACATTGCTAACCACAAAGCTGGTGGTTCAAACACACCAGCTCCTCTTAGGGAGAAGAGGCTCTGTATTCCCCTAAAGATTGATAATACCAGAAACCCTATACTGGTCTCTAGGAGTCAGAATTGACGTGATGAGTTTTGTTTTTGCTTTTAAATACTATGCCAGGCTCTGCAGTAACACCACTGAAGAAGAATGCTTCCTGTTGTCAAAGAGCTGAGAGTCTTATAAGAAGACATTGTGATAGCAGGCTGGAAGTGCAATAACAGAAATAGAGAAAAATAACGGGGAGACCCTGCAAGGAGTAGGGACCAGGAAGCAGAGAGGAAAAAGCAGAAAGAACTAGCATTAACTGAGTCTTTAAAAAAAAAATAAACACAACTCAGAACCTGAGGAGTAACATGATTTTGTTCAAAGGAAGCAAAATATTTAATTTCAGTTTTAAGTAGGCTTCATTCTGATAGATTTAAATACTGTGTTTTGAAATAAAGGTAATCAAGAAAAGAACACTACAACCAATGTCCCTAATGCATATGAACACAGAAACATTTAGCACAATTCTAGCCAACCGAATTGAAAAACATCATAAAAGAAGTATACACATGAGGAGCCCTGGTGGCACAACGTTTTAGTACCTGGCTGCTATCCAAGGGCCAATGGTCCAACACCATGGGGAAAAGATGTCTGCTTCCATGAAGATTTATAGCTTTGGAAACGCTATGGCAGATTTATTCTGTCCTACGAGGTCAGTATGGGTCAGAATCAACTCGACAATAGATTTGTATATCACCATCTTGTATATCATATGCTTTTAGTATGTCATCATCACGTAGGATTTATCCCAGGAATGGAAGGGTAAATCAACATTAGAAAATCAATCAACACAAAATGCCGCATTAGTAGTATCACTCCCTTTTTCTATCAAGTTGATTCCAACTCATAGTGACCCTATAAGAAAGGACAGGACTTCCTGTTGGTTTCCAAGACTAACTTTTCACATGAGTCGTCTTTCTCCCACAGAGGGGCTGTTTTTGCAAAATGCTGGCCTTGCAGTTAGCAGTCCAACATGCCAACACGACACTACCAGGGCTCCTACATTAACAGAATATTGGAGGGGGCTGGGGGCTAGATACATAATCATCTCAATTTTAAAAATCTGACAAAGTTCAACATGGTAAAAACATTTAACAAGATAAAAACAGAAGCGATATTCCTCAATATAAGGCAGAATATTTAAAAGAAACACAGCTAATGCCATATGTAATCACGAAAACATGAGACCCTGTTCTCATTGACATTGGTGAGAAGACAAGGATGTTCAACCACGGTTAGTCAACACGGCTCTGAAAATGCTACTCAGAGTAATTAGGCAAGAAAATAAATAAAAGGTATCCATACCGGGAAGGATGTAACACCGTATCTCTGCCATCGAGTCAATTCTGACTCATAGCAACCATATAGCATAGAGTAGAACCGCCCCTGTGGGTTTCTGAGACTGTGAATCTTTATGGCAATAGAAAGCCGCATTTTTCTCCTGTGGTGTTTCAGAATGCTAGCCTAGCAGTAAGCGGCCCAAAGATGACATGAGGGCTCCTGACATGATCCTATACATAGAAAAACCTCAAAGATTCAAAAGGAAGCTACACAAACTACTAGAGTAACACACAAAAATCAAAGGTTGCAAGCCAAAAATGGAATTAAAGAAACATCATTATGCATAACAGCACCTAACAGAATATGGTCCCCAGTAATAAATTTAAACCAGAAAGTTCAAGAACTGTACACCAAAAATTATAAAACATTACTAAACTGAAGAAGACCTAAATAAATGGGAGGCAATTCCATATGCATGGCCTGGGAGGCTTAATATCATTAAGAAGACAAAAGTATCAAAGCAAGCTTTAAAGTTCATATATTCCCATCAAAATTCCAATAATCTTGCAGAAATGAAGTCCACCCTCAAACTTTTATGGAAGGTTAAGGAACCCCCAATAGCTAGGAACTAGAGATGGGGTATGAGTAGGACAGTCCCCTCCGCTTGATGAGCTCATGGTACAGATCACTGGTTCTCAAATATTTAGTCTCCGGATTGTTTTAAATTCTGAAAAGTAACAGAGGACCCCTAAATGCATATTAAAATTCAAAACTGAGGGCATTTAAAATTACTTATTCATTAAAAATAACTAAATAAACCCATGACATGTTAATGGTAAAAAGTATATTTCGTTAGAAAAACATATTTAAGTATGCATGTAGAATATATAAAACATAAAATAAAATGTAGTGAGAATGGTAGCACTGCTTTGTTTTTTTCAAATTTTTTGAAACTCTGACTTAAAGGTTCACGGCTGAATTTGACTTAAATATGTGAAGAAAATGCAGACTCACAGATATGTGATTGGCAAAGAGGGGAAACTGCAGGTACCCAGAGGGTGCTGGACCACTATTTGAGAACACCTAGTCTAAACCAATGATTTCTAGAGACATTATTTGTTTTAAAAAAATTATGGATCATATATTTTATCAGCTATACTATACTACTAATACATAACTTCTATGGTTAATATATGCATAAAAATATTAAGATACCATATGTATTCGAGTATAAGCCGACCCAAATATCACCCGAGACACCTAATTTTACCACAAAAACTGCATAAAAATGTGCTGACACCAGCCTGTGTGATCATGAGGTATTGATGGGATCAGGAATCACGCATCAAAGAAAAATCATATCATTGCGAGTGAGGGGAAGTGCGGAGTGGAGACTCAAAGTCCATCTGTAGGCAACTGGACATCCCGTTACAGAAGGGTCGTAGGGAGGAGACGAGCCAGTCAGGGTGCAGTATAGCAACAATGAAACACACAACTTTCCTCTAATTTTTTAATGCTCCCCCCCCCCCCGCCACTATCATGATCCCAATTCTACCTTACAAATCTGCCTAGAACAAAGGATGTACACTGGTACCAATAGGAAATGGAAGCACAGGGAATCCAGGGCAGATGATCCCTTCAGAACCAGTGGTGGGTGGCGATACCGGAGGGTAGAGGTGAGGGCAAAAGGGAGAACCGATTACAAGGATCTACATATAACCCCCTCCCTGGGGGACAGACAACAGAAAAGTGGGTGAAGGGAGATGTCGGACAATGTAAGACACGACAAAATAATAATAATTTATAAATTATCAAGGTTCGTGAGGGAGAGGGTATGGGGAGGGAGGGGGAAAATGAGGAGCTGATACCAAGGGCTCAAGTAGGAAGAAAATGTTTTGAGAACAATGATGACAACAAATATACAAATGTGCTTGACACCATGGATGGATGTATGGATTGTGATACGAGTTGTATGAGCCCCCAATAAAGTGATTTTTAAAAGAAAAGAAGGCTACTGGTAATTTAAATTTCAGTATTTGCAGTATAATGTACATGTAGAGAGAACATTTGGATGATCATGATTTATCTTTGAATGAATTAGCCTCTCTAAAGGAGACTGAATAAAAATGTGTGAGATGGTTAAAAAAAACAACTATAAATATTACATATGATTATCATTCCCACTGTGAATCTCTTCAGTAAAGTATTTCTATGCATTTCTAAAGGAGACCACTCCAAGCTCTGGTAAGATCAGTGCATTAAAATGTTTTTTTAATTAATTCCATTCTCATAATTTGATCAACTAACTTTTATGAATCAATAACAATTAAATAAGATTCAAAATCAAAAACTAAATTTTGGATTTGAATGAACTAAAGAGCTAAGACGTCAACTCCCACCAAATAAAAAAGGATGAAGATGATGATGGTGAGAGAGCTAAGATTCTTTTCATAGTTACTATATGTTAGATTCTTTTTTTCTTTTTTTTCTTTTTTTATGTTAGATTCTTAATTAATCTCCAAAACAATCCTAAGGAAGATATTACTATCACACACACACACACACACAAAATTGAAACTGCGAATGTTATCTATCTTAAGTCACATAGCTAATCAGAACACGAACTCTGATACCACTGATTTCATAGTAATTAATGATTCTACATTATAAGGCCATGTATTTTAAAACAGTAATAAGGATAAATATTTAATCTTACCTCTTCAGGTAGTTCACTGTACATTGTTTCAGAGGTAGACAACAAAAATATCGGTGAAAATGATGGTATATCCTGTAATAAGGTCAAAAAAGTTGCTCTCACAGTTTCACTGACAGCTTCCCACCAATCACCAATGTGAGGCATGTAAACAATACTAGGTACTGTTCTTCGAGCTTCACGAAAAATCTAATTTAAAGGAAAAAACAAGCATTAAAAAAATAAAAAATGTTATTATCCCAAAGTAATATCCAAATACATGATGTGCATCAAACCCATTGCTGTACTAGCGTCAGCCAAATAATTAAGCTATGGAGCACAATCCTTCACACAGAGCGTCTATCTACCCTGGCCCCATCAAAAAGGACAGGGGGAAAACACTGTTTCATATGTTCATAGTACAAAGAAATTCAAATGCTCCACATACTACTGTATAGAAATAAAGCAATATACCACTATAACATATTCTGCAAAAGAGATAAAAATGCACTTGTATACCACTCACATAAGAGGAAAATTAAGAAGCTTCAAAGAAGAAAAGAAAGACATATTTGTGGATACTGCCTAAAGTCACTCACCACATGAAACATTTTTACAATACGCGCCATCTTAGAATTTAAAATTAATGAACTACCTGCTGATCCAGTTGTTCACCACCCCCACCCCACCCACCCCCGTTCCCATACTTCAATCTTCCATAAAACAGTCAGAAAATCCATTACTGCTTTAAAGAACAGTAAATAAATGAACAAAGAACTCGATGACGCTTCCATCAGGAAAAAAGTACAAAATGATGCTTTTTCCCCCTCGGGTGTTCCCTCGAGTCGTGACCATTGCTTCAGTCTCACTTGCCCGACACGTCAATAAGGACCTGGGCTCGTAGTGGGCGACAAAGCATAGCCACTGACCTTTACAGATAGGACAATTATGTGTCATCAGTCTAATTGTAACATATTCCTAAAATTCCCAGGGCATCAACTCTTATTTTAAAGCAAGACATTACATCGGGGGTGGGGGGTGGGGTGGGGTGGGGACGACAAAAAACAAAACCTGATGCCATCAAGTCAATTCCGACTCACCGAGACCCTATGCAATACGTAAAGGGGCCCCTAAGAACTCAGCTGGTTCTAACCCACCCAGCAGCTCCTCAACAGGACCTGGTGGTCTCTGCATTAAACATTCAATGGTTCGAACTCACCCAGCAGCTCCTCAACAAGACCTGGTGGTCTCTGCATTAAACATTCAATGG